ACGTGAATTTCCGCTGAAATTCATGGAGGCCACGATGAATACCTCACTTGGTGGAATGTACAGCAGTCGCAGCGCTGATAGAATTCCAAACATATCCCTTGAACGTCTTGCATGCGCCGAGATCGTCTATTGCAGAAATGAAATCTGGGGCTACAAAGAAAAAGAAAATAGTACTGCGATGAAAAGCTGCCTGCGCAATTTGGAGCGCAAATCCGAGCAATGCATTTACGTCATATTTTGTGTGTGCTTCAGGGACACTCCCCATTGTTGTTATTGCACATAAGGTCCTACAATTTCGCAGGAGTAAGTTTTTGAGCTGTTCCACATTTGCGTGTACTTTTAAGCTGAAACAACCGCTTCGAAGATCATTCAGTGAAGTTAAAAGCCCCCACCCCCTTCCCCTCTAATGACCGACTAGTTTCTAAACTGCACACCCGTAAAGACATGCGTACTATTTCGTGTATATCATTTTAAGGTCATTCAGGTGTGCATGATGCCATAGCAACGTCGTTTAAATGTTGTCACTCCGCACGCCACGCGGCGGTCAACGCCAGGAAGCACAGCATCATCCAGTTGTTCAGATCTGGCGTCCATTAGTGCGATTTACAAACGTCCTGGACGTCAATTAGCTCCCATACAATGTTCAGCAAGCTGCGTAGATTTCAATCACGAATCGCGTTATGTGCCACATAACATAGCAAGTTGGGCACAGTTTCTTCACTAGCTAGTTATTGCTAACCTACGGCTTGAAATTGAACAAGTTCATGACAGCGTCAAGACCGCGTACGTGAACATCCATAAACATTTTAAACTCGCAGATAAATATGCAAAACACCGCGAGAAAGGGTCAAGACACGAACACATAACGATATTTGGTCGAGCCAACATTTCCATCCAGTGCTGGCATCTCTCGGCGAGTTTGAAGTACCGCAAGCAAGTGGCAGTTTCGCACGGCTGGGTTGGCAGTACCTCAACGTCATACAAATGTCCCATGACGCAAACAAACAATGATGCTTTGACGTGAATATTTACTACAAGGCGAAATTGTGTTCTCTAGGGCGGTCTTTCACTTAAAGCACACCAACAGTCATAAGAAAGTTTATTTCATCATATCTGATGTTTGCCTCAAGATCTACAACGAAGGAACATTCCCTTCAAAAGGCCGACGGAAATCTATCTGCTTAAGTGGTCTTCGCAACGTGGGCGGAGGCTTCTAGGTATGGGCAGCATCTTTTACTTAGCAGGTACCTGGAATCCTAATCCGCTTGCGCGGCCCACTTGCTTGGGATGAGTCCAAACCTTTTGATTGGATGCATTTCTGGGACCATCGCCCACGCTTGGCAATGCGTGTTGCGTGAGGCCCCGTCCCACTTTCCGGCCGTGAAATTTTGGGTCGAGGCATAGTTTTGCGGCGAACGCATAAGGCGCAGACACCTGCTCTTTCGCGTAGTCGCTGCCACGGAACGCATGTCATCGCAATCAGAAATAAAGAACAAGTGCCTAAAGTAGTTTGAACCTGCCCTACCACCGGCGGGTGAACCGGAAGGTAGGCGTTCTGACTGTCCGACTGAGCTATCGGGACGGCTGCTTAGTCATTCGGCGAGCTGAGCTATTCGGAATGACTGTGTTTATCAGCAATGTAAATGTCCTTCAAAATCAACATGGCGACCACGTGATCAAACCTCTGCGCCCCGCCTGAGCCTCACACAGCGGCCAGAAGCAGGATGTTGGGGACAGCAGATGGCCAGACTACATCTAACTCCGCTGGGGCGGGCCGGACCATGCCGACAGGCAGGTCACACACCCACCGGGCCGGCTCGCCTCGTAGCAGAATGTCATACCTGTACCCCGTGTTTTGTCGTACCGCATGCCATAACCACGCCATCAAACCACAAAATGTCACACTTGACCCCTCCGGTCGGACAAGCCGCCCAGCGCCGTCAAACGAACCGCTCCATGAGGTCAAACCGCTTCATCCGGTCGGACGCGCTGGAAGAGCTCAGCGATAACGTCCCGCCATCGCCGCCGTATACAAGCACCAGGGCTATCCACATCCGGCAACCCATCCCTGCACTCGCGATATGGCGATATCGACGGAGTCATCGGGCGCCGGCCCGCTCGACACGGGCGGCGACGACCGACCGCCGCGGCCGCTCCCCGGGCCGTTAAACAGGGCCGCGCGGCCAACGCTCCTATCGCGGATTAATTTCCCGCGCCCATTTCATTTGTCGTCGACAGCGCTGCTAACCGAGACCAGATGTGACGGCTGAGTCAAACAGCACTCGGAGGCACAAAACCGACAGCTATTCTGATGTTGATGTGTGATGGTTTTGGCGATCCGCGGGATGGCTTGCCATGAGCTCAGACACAGTGGCAGGTTTTTCGACGTGCTTGAAGTATAGCGTATGTTGTCTGAAATGAGTGCGTGGTTTATATTTCCCCCATTTTAGTTAAGCTTGTCATGTCTTCCTTCCCATAATTGATCGACATATCTAAATTAGCATAAAATAATACGGTGAGTTGTATAAGATTGCAACCAATCCGTAGAGCTTAGCGTTGAATTTCAAATCTTTGTAATTATATGGATTCAATTTCATGCAAACATGCTTTAAGTACGTAAAGTAAACGCAGTTTCTCTTAAATGTGCTAAATAGCGTTTACCTTCCATTTCCATTCCGAAATCACTACCCCTGATGTTATGACCCGAACCGCCACAAAGCAATTACAAATCTCATTACCCATAACCATCCATCCTTGCCGCCCCCACCCCTGCCCTGTGTCCCTACGATCTCCGGCAGGCCAATATGGCGGGCGAGACACCTGGCGGCTGGTGGAGGAAGCACGGCGCCGTCGCCGCGCGGGCGACCGCCGGTGAGCCCCGGCACCGGCCGCTCGGAGCCGAGGCCCGGCCGCCCGGCACACCGGCGCCCCAGCGGCGCCCGGCAGCGCGAGGTACGCGCTGCCCGGACCGCCGCTGTCGGCACACGACACGCCGGGCCGGCCGGCAGCCCCGCCGCCGACGCCGCCCGCGCCGGGTCGAGGTCACGGCACGCTCTCGCAGCCGCAAGTGACGACTGTGCGTGACCGCAGAAACGGAACTCCCCTCGGCACACGTGGGCCGGCGGCGTGTTTACAACGCGTAATGTGCGCAGCTGTACATGGCAAGCGCAACCATTTTAAGGTGGCGTAGCACGCCAGGTCGTGTCCGGCATAAGCTTCACGAATTTCAGGACTAGCGAACGATAAGGTACTTCGCACTTCAGGACTTGTAATCTGACAGTTGGCCGTCGATAGCTGAGCCGAAAGCTTCCTGAATAAAAAAACGCTGTTCTGCCACCAACGAGACGAGAAAAAATGACGAGCAAAGCGCGCGTACGGTATCGGCGCCGGACATGGGACCGCATAAATCATGGATCCCGAGAGCGGATAGCTCAGATCACACTTACGAAAAACGCGTCTCCGAACTGTCAGCCAATATGTTACGAATTTCATTAGTGAATTCAATATTTATGTTCTCCATACAACCGAGTCAGCTCGAATCGGAACTATGCAACCAACTGACGCTTGCAAGCTTGGTAACCGAACAGATTTCAGTAACAAAGCTAAAATAAATGCTTCTGCGGCACAAGACATAGGGGAAAGCCATTTAATGCTGATTAAGATCAAGACCACATTAAACACTTCAAACAACACGGCCTTGTATTCTTCTGAGGTGCAAATATTTTTTTACGGGTCCAATCATCCCAGGTTGAGGCGGCGACGAACCTCTATTGTCCTCGTTGATGCCCTTACCCAGGCCGCTCCCTCCTTAGACAAATACAACGTTGTAACAATATATGCAAACATATAGCGATAAGGAAACCATCCTTGCTTCCTACTGCGGGCAGATCAGTGTTTGTTACAACATTCCTAAAAAAGGGAGGTCAATGCCCGTGAGACGTTCCCTGCGGTGACGTCTACCTTTTTTCCCTGATGAAATGCCGGGCACAAATTCAAAATAAGAAAAATCACGAAGCTTCCGCTTCTGTTTTAGACTATTTTTTTAAAAACGTAATATTTTCCATGGCATCTCTGTTCGGTACCACACCAATGGCCATTCCGGAATTCTGGCGCGCCGGCCGTCTGTTACAGTGTAACTCGCCGAATCAGTTTGGTCTCCACACAACCGGGGTCGATTCAAATTGGAAACAAGCATAAGTTGTCTTTTTTTGAAAAGCTGTTTCCATTTGAAGATACTATCTTAAAATGTCCAAACGCCAAATGACACTACAAATACAAGCACGTAATGCGTCAATATTCAGTTAAACTCCCAACGCGAACTTAACAGCCCGCCAAACTTGACTGCATACGGCGCTCCAGATATTACCGGCAGCGGTCTTGAGAAGGGGGAAATAGACATCAATAATGAAATGACAATTTGGCAGTTTGAAATTACAAAAAATAAATGCATGCCGAGAAGTAAGAACAAATAGAGGGCAATACAACGCACCACTGCGTTACAATTAAACATGAAATAATGCAAACTCGGTGCGCCTGGCAGCGATAGTCCCTGTACGTGGATGGCGGACCTATTGATTTCTGATGCAGCAACGGTAGTGGCTGACAAGATAATGCTGGCATGGTATCTTGCAGTCCATAAAAGGCGATTTTTTAAAGTTTTTTTTTAAGCGAATGCTACGTAGAGTGCCATCGCTCCTATTCTAAACATGGACTCGAGCTTCGACGCCTCCTGAGTTATTCTAACATCGTGTACAAATATCACAATCCGTCCAAAATCGTCTTGTTAGTGCATAAACATGTACATAACAGGATACTCTTTTTCAGAGAGTAGACATATCGACAGGCACCAGAAACAAAACATCAATATCTTGCACGGCACATTGCACTTCCCAAGCACCCGAACCGCCCACCTGGCTGCGCCGGAACACCACCCAGGGGCGGCGTCAGGGGCCGGCAGGACGGGCGGCCGGGCGGGCGGCCGGCCCGGGATCAATGCCTACCTGGCCGTGGCATTCGAGCCTGCCGTCGGGCGTGTGCTCGGGCAGGAAGTAGAGCCGCAAGCAGGCCAGCCGCTCGCCGCTGCCGCCCTCTTCGAAGATCAGCTGCAGCTCACCCAGGCACACCTGATCCTGGCCCGTCCACAGCTTCACGAAGAAGAACTCGCCCAGCGCCAGCACGCGCCGCCGCCCGGCGCAGGCGAAGCTGAACGCCTTGTAGAAGACGTAGGAGCCGTGCTGGCCGCACGAGGCCCCCACCACCTGCGGCGACAGGGAGAGGTCGTCGAACGCCGGCTCACACGGGCCGGTCTGGTCACGCTCAATGGGGACGGAAAAGTCGCCGCGCACGGTACTCGACGGTCATCTGCTCAGGGCGTAGCGGGCCCACGCGCGCCCCGGCACCCGTCAGGCCCAGGTGACCCCGGGCGCCACAACATCCAACCCGAGACGACCCACGAGGACGAACGACTTCCCCGACTAATACTGAGCCCAGAATGTATTATTAATAGTCGCAACCAACTGCCAAGGTCATTGGCATGGCAACGCCACCGGAGTTCTCGGCAGCGCGGCACGCGAATCCCGTCGGGAAGTATGCGGCGCCACTCCAATGTGGCCCTCCGACGGGGCTCACAATGGTCAGTATCATCCCGGCAGAGGGCGAGGGGTTCACGCTGCCTGTCCTCGGCGTGCGAATTGTGGGCGGACGTCAGGAGCACCGCACTTTGAGTTCGGACGCTAAGCACACATCGGCACTGAGCATTCGGAGACAAGCGAGTCATGTTGCATCGCCTCTCTTGTGGTGTCATCGTTCCAGCGGACACGGCGGCTATCGCCATTTCTCGTTTCGTCCTCACCTCCCGTCAATGCAAGTTGTCTGAATACAGTTTCGGTTCAGTTCCGCGAACAATTCGACATGTCTTGGAAGGGCGGCTTTCATAATTCCTACAATGAACAAACGTTGACCTCGAGCTGTAGCGCTCGGGACGTATTTGGAATGTAGCCCAACGGCCAATGAAGTCGATGGCGCCGGTTCGCAATTCGTTACGGCGCACTCTGCTAACGTCAGCTCTGAGATTGTTTCGTTTTGTTTCGTCACCACCCTGGCTATTACTCAGCAAACGGAATTCACAGATGACGTAAGATAACGACTCTCTATACGTAGAGGGGACACATGTGTAACTTACCGGAAAACAAAACGAATCTCGCAAAGCTTGACATTAACTGTCATGCACTTATAATTCATCGCGGTGACCGTACAGCTCTTAAGAGCATCATGTGAAATGTCACGATTAAAATCTGTTTAAAACCCAAAAGTACGTCAATGCCCTAAATGCATCATATCCAAGAAAAGATTACGCCAGTAGCGAAATTATCAACTCAGCGAGCACTCACTCCCACTAAAACGCGCCCCTGGGTCCGCCGCTGATATCCTTCTACGCCATCACTGACGATGTGGTTCTTTGTCCTCGAGAGTTTCGGCGAGAATGCGTCACGATCGAACAGCAGCCAATGACACCAACACATTCAAATAATCTCATTTCAACCCCTCAAAGTTAAAACGATGCAATAAGCTGCATTCTGGGACCACAGGTCCAGTACCGCCAAATGCCGATCAATAATGAAAGCCTCAGGCACGATGTCATCAAAGGACGTGTTATATTTAACTAGGCTATCAGCCAATCAAATCACACAAAACATCTACAATGACATTCAGCTCCTTTGTCGCAAACAAAATTAAAATTCACTCAAAAACATTACTGCAAATATGCGCACACCGCCTTTCCCCGCCGACTTTCCCCAGGCGCCGTGCGAATTCCCCGCTCTCCCGCTTCTCAGGTCCAGTGAAGTCGAGGGCAAAACTGTAAGCTGGAAACACCTGCAGAATATTTTCGCCCATGTCTTCCACTACGACCACCAAAAATAAAAGGAAATAACGTCAAATCATACCCTGAGACTTAAGCTATCGAATGAACGTGAACTCTTACCTGTATGTGCTGATTTGACATTTTAAAATCAATTTCAATGCAGAGTCGCCCACATAGCACAATCGGCGCGAGCGCACGCTCCCCGGTTCTATTTACTGTAATTACATGACGTCACGCGAGAACCACTAGTTCAATAAATGCACAGTAGATGGCACTAGTGATAAGACTGCTGAAATCGCAACATCATTCGACAAAAGTATCACTTGCATAAATTATTCGTCTACAAACAGCGTTTTCATTACACTGCCTAGTTACAATTCAAACATTGGCCTCCGATTTCCTGCGTCACTTTACGATGATTTGTTACATTTTTGTCATTAAAATTCTGAAATGTCAAATTGTTTTAGACCGAGTGTAACATCTTTCGTCTGCCCACCTTGAAAGACAGATGTATGATTTCGGCGCACGTGCGACGTGTACAAAATCAGTGGTAACGCTGCTGTGAATCACTGGGCGGGTGTTAGCATCTCCTAGATACCTTACGCCTGACCGCTTGAAGTTTCAGCAGACAAAAAACGTGTTTGTTTTGCTGTATTGGTGCTTAGAAGATACTGTAATTCAGAGACTTGCATGATTAGGCAACGTAAATATTTGGCCATTCTTCAGGTCGGCTGATAGTGGACGCTGATCAATTTTTGATAGCCGTGCGGGATTGCCGCGCTCCAAAATGAGCTAAAACAGGCAGATGTTGGAATGCAGTTAGGAGTAGAAAGATCAGTCAGCAAAATCACTGATAAAACATGAAGCATTGACCGAATTACTTGCCTTGTCTTAACTTGTCTTTATCCCCAGGAAAATTTACAATACTCAAGGATGTGATATTTTATCACATATATTGCAAACCTTAATATTATACAGTCCGAGCTCCAAAATGTAACAGATTGTATCTTCATTGAGTCAAGACATTAGATGACCCAAGCATTCATCAGAGTTATGTCCATTTTTTGTGAGCCTGTAAACTTTGAGGTTATGTTGTGTCCAGTGCTACCCATTCCCATGTGCATTAATAATATACTAATGTCTTGCATCACATGTTCTGGAATATAAAGGCAGCATGCACATTTAAAATTCATGATTTTTTTAGCCTATTTTGCATATTTTGTAGCATTCATTCATCATTAATAGGTTAGAGGCAAGTCTGCCATGCATCTGCTAGCTGGGGTGGTTGGAGGCTGGTTCTAGCTGTTCATAAGAAGCTTTGCTGCAATAAAGTAAATTTATAGCATATTTGGCACATTTCATGACATTGGTGCATCACCAAGATGTTTAGAGGTAACTATACCATGTGTCTGTGAGGCAGTATGGGTAAGGCTGGTGTTGTGATCAAGTACAAGTAACTGCTTTGGAAGTGGGAAAATAAAGAATTAATGTTCAACACCTTTCACCATGTAATTGACCTGCCAAAAAACCAACCATGATTAATGTCATCATGCAAGTTGCATATGGTAACTTCTTTATCATGTGAACATGATCTTTAGAGCTAGATCAATATTTGCTTGCATGCACCATCATTTCTTCATGCTGCTGGATGTTTGGATGACTTTTTCCCCATGGCTGCAGCATGTGGTTGCATCTTGCCAAAATGTTTCACTGGGTGTGGGCAATATATGTTGGGATCTCTGAAAATTATCATAATTGCCTTCTTGTGATGTGTTGTGGTGTTGGATCATGTTACATCAGTGAGAGCTGCTGATAAGCATATGTACCATGGAATGTCTATTTGTGAGGTCAAACTGAGGGGCTAGATGCAAAATTATTTGTTGAGGGGTTAAAACTGCTTGAGTGGTACTTTCAGGGTGCAAGTGGAATGTGCTGTATAGCAGGCACATTGTGCCCAAATCTGGTTTAGCAAAATATATGTGTGCTGCAACCACTAGGTTTGTGTGAACTTCTTCAGTTAATGATGTGTTGTAGAAGCAAGCACAAACTTCTATTTCAAGACACTTGTTATTGCTATAAGATCACATGATTATGTGTTTGATTATTGTGCATGAAACTGACATAAAGGGTTGGTGCTGGTGCAATATGATCACGGTTCTGCGCCACTGAAGCTGAAATAGATAAGTTTTAGTGTGCTTGTGACCAACAGGTCTTTGTTCGTTCACTCTGGCCTGTTGTAGAGGGCGCTACTAGTCCATGTTCATTTCTTCTGCTAGGTGGCGCTAATGTACGTGAATTCTCAGATGGCGCTCCGTGCGGCACGCGGAGAAAAATATGACTCCTTTAAAAGTAGCATAATGGGCGGTACATAAGTGAAGCTGCATTGGGGGACAGAGCACCCAAAAAGGATTGTTAAAGGGAATATTGCACATTTGAAGACACTGAAGAATGCATCAGATATGATGAAAAAGGCCCTCTCACTAATAACTATTGGTATGCTTTTTACGCGGGAAAGACTGCCCTGGATAGCACAATTATATGTTCAGTAAATATGCTCCTCAATGTGTTATGGTTTGATCACGTCATCGTGCCTTGCACAACATTGATTGCGAGCCGATTGACGGCCGTCATACTTGGAAATCGGGCTCACGAACCGTATGAACGCCTCGATAGGTATATTTGCATCGGCCGTGCTCGCTGCATGACTTTGAGATTCCAGGATTTCAGTGATGTTATCATGGCGTCATGAATGCCAGGATGATTCTGAAATACTTTCGCCGATATACCTTTTCCCATTTTTGGGGGCGTGTTGCTCACACACTAGAGGGGCTAAGGTCTTCAGAAGGGCAGGATTGGTAACAGCACCGAAAGGTCTTCAAGATGGCTATTTCAGTTCAAACCCTCATAAAAATGGGGAACGCTCTCTCTTTAAGCATGAACTTTTGCGAGGGATTGAAGGAAAACTTAAAAATTAGCATTGTAAAACACTTTTTAGCCCCAATAAATCATGCATGAACACCTGTAATGTTCACACATTTCGGCTTTACCGTTGGTCTGAACCAAGCAGGTGGACTGAAACTAAGTGTTCTAAAACTACAAAAACTAAATTTACTTAAGTGCTACCATACGAAATTGCCATCAGGTGGTATGCGCTTCCAGCTGAGTCCGTGTTACGAGCATAAATGAGCGGAATTACGGAGGCGTGAAGAGCAACTAAGCAAGAGCAACAACAAGAAGAGCAACCAAAAGAGCAACCAAGCAACCTGCAAAATGAAATACATCATTTGTCGGAAGACGACAGCCTTCAAAATATGTGTATCGGATTTTCGAAAGACCCATTCCCCAAAAAGTTAGTCGCGCGGAGAGCAGCATCCACTTGGCTGAATGGAGGGTGCCACAAAGTGTGCGAAACGAGCAGTCACTATTGTTCGCGCTGGCCCATCTGTCTCAGTGAATGTTTGTTTTGATTCAGTGCTTCAAGCCGTTTTTGTCCAGTAAGAGGGGTGCGTGCTTTTCGAAACTGTGTGTTTCCCGTCAACTCGTAGCTCTGAGCGACCCAGACTTGACCTGAAATAAGAGGGAACCGAAAGAGTTCAGAGGGAGAACGTCGACGGAGAAGGTCGACGGAGTGGGACGGACTCTGCAGCATGTACGTAGGGCCCCCTGTTGGCCCCTAAATGGGCTTCTGTCGGCGTACAAAGTGGCCTTCGCGCTGACGGCTAAAAACGGCCCGGGCTAACTTGAACCAGAGGCCCTTGCCAGCCTTCAAGGAGGACCCCGTTGAAAGACGCCCCTTCTCGACTCTTTGAGGAGGGTTCCCTGCTGGCCGGAAAGGAGAGACGCCACAAACCTGCTGCTGGGGTCCCCGGCCTGAGATCCCGGCCGGCGGCATCACGACTCAGCACGCGCAGTGAAAACCCGGATGTACTTCATGAATACAGAAACCTGAAGGTCTCTTACCTCAGAACTTGATCTTGACGCTCACTTGACCGGCTCCTCCACTGGGGGCGCTTCCCGGACCGCGCTTTGGCGGCAATGCTGAATCCTCGATGCTCCAGCGTTCGCCAGCTCGAGAAGTGCATGCGTGGCACCGTTTACTGTGGCGTGACGATGGGTGTTCATGACGTGACGGTGGGTGTGCATGACATGACGATGGGTGTTTATGACATGGCGATGGTTGATTTAATAGCCGTCGCTGTTAATGTTGTTCTCGGTATGCTGAAACAGGACCGTCTCGCATCATTGTTGAGCTGACCTGGAATGTGTTAAGTCGCAGCTACCGAACAGATGGAACCAGCCTTCGCGATTTCACAGGGATGGACCAAGTCTTCGTTTTTTACATGGAGATAGAATCAGTCTTCGTGCTTTGATGGCGTGTTAGTTCAGGGCTTTTCAGACTCGGAGAACGAATGGTAACAATGAAATAAAACTGGTGCAATCATGTATCGTTTGCCTGGTACCCAGGCTTTTACAGATCGTAATAAATCGTCAATTTTGCTTCGGCCCTCGCAATTGCTCTCGATGCTTTACTGCTACGTACTTCGCTGTGTTGCACATTGTACTGACAAACGTGGACGTGACCTGTCAATCGTGGTCATGGACACCTCTATCATGGGCCGCTCCAGAGAGCGCAAAACCCCGGAACGCTCACGTTTCAACGCGCAGCGCCGCTATCAGCAAACAAGGCAAAAGCAAGCACAGTGCCAGCTTGCTCGGAGTCAGGCAGGTGTGCCACTTCCCAAGATCGGTCGAGGAGGGCGAGGGGCGGAGCCGATAAGGTTGACCTAACTCACCCCAAAACCGGATTTCCCCTTGCATTTGGCCGCCGGCCACAGTTATGCCAAGCGCCCTGACCGAAGACTTTCCCCTCCTCAAATTATGAGCGCATCGCTGCCGCATCGTATGATGCAGGAGCGCCACGAGCTTGAGGAACAACTGGCGGGCAGTGACCACATCATTCAGGCAAGCCGGCTGCGAGTGGTGCGTGCCAAGGCACCCGTTGTTTAGGTGCGAAGGCACCGGTCTGCCGCAGTGGGATTGGAAATAGCTCATCCCCGCCGATCGGTCCCGGACCGCGCTCGCTCCAATTACCAGCTGCCGGCACTGACGTCACCGCTGCGGCCGGCGGCGCGTCAGCTGAACGCTGGCGGCTATTTTGGCGCTCTGTCGACAAGGACTGGCGCCTGAAGCAAC